ATTCAGGCTCCAGTGATGCTGCAGGTTTGCAGTGAGTGAAGGGTTATCTGGTTGTCTTTTAATATGGTGACTGAACCTTCAATCCCAGAAGGTCCCACGGAGGTAAGAACTTCCGGGCCACCTGTCCCATATGATTCAACTCACACAACATGTCTCATACATATACTCAGTTGAAAGATGTGTGATCAAGTGAGAAAATCCATCCTGACCCCTGCCAGAAGTGTTGACCTCAACATGCTTGATGCTATATTTGATTCCACCAAGTATTTTCATTGTGCAATTGGCAAGCATGAGGAACAGAAAGATGAATGGATTCAGCTATTAAACTGAATGTGGAATCGAAGTTGACTGCATTTTGTACATTGAAACTGAGAGCATGTGCTCTGTCAGAAGCTGATTAATTTTTAAGGAATTACATTGGTGAATGGGTCAGAGTGGCTTTTGTTATGAAGAAGGAATAAATTGGAGAGAGAAGGAGTGGTAGGTAATACAGATATATGAAAACAAAGAAGTTTCAACTCCAGGATAAGTTGAGAAAAAGCTAGATACTTTGGAATGGGCTTGGACTTTGCATTATTGTTGTTAGTATCTTATATACAATTGCATACTGTTGGATCCCGCTAAAGCCTTTGAAAATATCCTGACTCATCGAAGGTGTTCAGGAGCAAGATTCAAAGCTGAATAGTTTGCTGAAAACTGTACTGGTGGAAATGAATTAGTTCAAACCTTCCAAGGTGATGCATAATTTGGCTTGTAAGCTCAGAGTTGTTGCGAAGATGGGTAGAGTACTTGTGGATTGGGAGGCAGTAAGTTAGAATTTGGTATTTGTAAAATGCTACTGGGGGGGAAGCATTGTGAGGTCCCTTTAAAAGATCATGTGCTTTTTCTGTGTTTAGAGATTTAAAATGGATGTCTGTGAGCAGCAACTTGAAAGTTTGCAAGTACACAGAGAGCGTCGGAATTGAAACATTTGTATCGAAAGGCCGTAAGGTTAGCAGGCCAAGTAGCAGTTTTTATCAAGACGACCAACCGACTTTTGAATTTAGCCAATCAGTTTGAACCTGGCACTTTAGATACCAAAAACCTATTAAATTTAAGTCTGATTGTTTTGACAACATAGGACCAATCCTATTGTAAGAAATATTGATATGTCATCAAGGGTATAAAAAAAAGGGTGCAGTAGGAAAAAGATTCCAGGACTAGCTGCTATCCACCAGAGCTAACGGCCCTCAGCTCTCTGTCTGTCTGTCTCGAGAGAGAGAGAGAATGGATATCACTGGCTCTCACAGCCTCCTCGGTGTCTTAGAAAAAGCACCATCTAAACAACAATGGTACCAACAGCACAACTAGCTAATATTCCTGACAGAAGAATTGATGGAGAAGTCACAGAACATTCCAGAAGACACACAACCTGGCTGTAATTTCGAGAGATTAATTTTTTTTTATATATGTACATGAGACTTGTATTTATCGGAACGGCATATCATTAGAATCTTGCTTTATTCAGGAATAGTTGGTAGTTAGAAGGGATTTATTCAGTTTGTTAATAGTTTAGTTAATTTGTTCACTGTTAGAGTTAGATAAATTGTTACTTGTTGATTTAAAGTGAGTGTCAGGGATTCATTTTTGTTTAATGACTAGAAGTTGCTGAAAAGCAGGTTACACCACTTTTCATGCTCCTTTCTACAGAATATAGGGCGAGGTGCTCCTCTTTGGGTGTTTCGGTTTTAGTTCTTGGTGGGGAGTCAACCTCTGGTTTATAACAGATTGGGGGCTCATCCGGGATGTGGACAGAATTGAACTGATTTAGGGTACAAAAGGTACCAGTAAATTTAAACAGACTTGGAGACTCATGTCCGAGATCTTTAAATGAAACTTAAGTGAAAAGTGGAAAATCAGTTCAATTTTGGTAGCTTATTAGTTAAATCAAAAGGCGGGTAATGGCTGTTTCAATCACTAAGAGTTTTCTGGGGGTGGAATAAGTGACTTTGGGGGTTTTACAAAAGGTGAGCAAGGCAAAGCTGTTGGAATTGGCAGACAAGCTGGAGTAGGGGTTGCCTTTGTGAGAAAAGGAGAGGTAATTACCACAATAGCTCAACATCTAAATTTGCTGGAAATGCCATCAGAATTTTTCGAAACGGCGAGAATTCAATTGCAGATGAAGCAGCTTGAACGTGACAGGGAACTGAAACTGTTTGAATTATGGTTAAGAGCAGAGGAGAGAGAAAGGGAAAGAATCGCTCTGGCAGAAGAAAAAGAAAAGTAGAGGAAGGCCCTAGCAGAAGAAAGGGAAAAAGAGAGTGGAGAAAGTGAGAGAATTTGAACTTCAGAAGTTTGAAAATTAGACAGGAAAGTTGATGTAAGTGAAGGTTAGGCTTAGTGAGGAGGATAATGATGATGAGCAAATCCATCGTAGCCAAAGGCCTGGTAGGGATATATACAAATATATCCAAACATTACCAAAATTTGATGAAGAAGATAGTAGAAGCCTTTTTCATTTCCTTTGAGAAATTGGCTAAACAGATGAACAGGTCAGAGACAGTGTAGGTGACGTTGATTCAGACCAAGTTGGTAGGCAGGGCTAGTGAGGTATTTGCAGCATTGTCAGGAGAATTGGAAGAAGTAAAACAGATTATTTTGAGTGGCTACGAATTGGTACTAGAAGCATATAGACAACAGTTCAGAAATTTAAGAAAGGAACCAGGTCAGACTTGTATCAAGTTTGAAAGGATTAAACAGAACAACTCCAATAGATGGATGAGAGTATTTAGATTAAAAAAAAGACATACGAGGCTCTTGGCGAAGTTTTTCTGCTGGAGGAATTTAAAAACTCAGTTCCAGAGATGATAAGAGCTCATATTGAGGAACATAAAGTTCAAACAGCAAGAACAGCTGCAGAGATGGTGGATGAATATGCATTAGTGCATAAATCGAAATCTGGCTTCTGACAGCAATTTCATTTTGTGAGGGATAGAAATTGGGAAAGAGGGAGATTCTTCAATGAAAAATAAAAAGTAGATCACGCTGGGAACCACATGTGAGAAAAGAAACCCAAGAGGGTGGAAAAGAGGTGGAAGACCTCTGGTGTTTTCACTGCAATAATGTGGGACAAACAAAGTCACAGTACTGTGGTTTAAGAAAGGCTCTGGGAAAAAGGATGTGGTAAAAGAGGCTAAATCAGTGGGCTTAGTTGAGGCAGTGAAGGAAAACCCAAGAGAAGCCAAGGAGCTGCAGGAGAGTGCACAGCCTAGTAACGGGCTGGATAGTAAGATTATGCCCAATCTTTTCGAAGGCTTCACCGGTGTGGGTAAGGTTTACTCAGGTAGAGTAGGAGGAGTAGGTAAAGAAGTTAAAATATTGAGGGATATGGGAGCTGGTCAGTCTCTAATAGTAAGAGATGAAAATATTTGCACTCGGTCTGAAATATTGCCCAAGAGAGTGATAATCTGTGGAATAAATGGAGAGAGAATTAGTGCTCCCCTGTGTAAGATAGTCACATCAAGACTGGGGAAGTGATAGTGGGAGTGATGGAAAAATTGGCTATTCCAGGAATAAAGTTTGTTCTTGGAAACAATATAGCTGGATCGCAGGTGGGAGTGATGTCCATTCTCGTGGAGAGGCCAAAAGAAAACCAGGGAACTGAGGAGTTAAATGGAAAATACCCTGGAATTTTTCCGGACTGTGTGGTTACAAGATCGCACAGCCATAAGTTAAAACAACAAGGGAAAACAAACGAAAAAGATGAAGGAGTTGAGGTCCAGTTAGCTGACACTCTGTTTGATGGGATGCTAAAGGAAAAACCTTAAGCAAGTAGAGAATCAGGCAGGTTACACCACTTTTCATATGCCTTTTTATAGATTATAGGGAAAGGTGCTCCTCTTTGTGTGTTTTGATTTTAGTTCTCAGAGGTGGGGGGGGCGGTGGTGTTGCTGTCAACCTTTGCTTTATAACAGAGTGTACAGCAACTTTTTCACACAGGGTGGTTTGTGTTTGGAATGAAGTGCCAGAGGAAGTGGTAGATGCTGGTACAGTTACAATGTTTTAAAAGCCATGTGGACAAGTGCATGAATAGGAAAGTTTTAGAGGGATATGGGCTAAATGCAGGCAATTGTGTTTAGTTCAGTTTAGGAAACCTAGTTGGAATGGACGAGTTGGACCGAAGGTCTGTTTCCATACTGTATGACTCTATTGCTAGAAGTTCAGTAGGCCTGGGAGTTTGCAGGTTGAGTCTGATAATCTTTCATAGTGATAATGTGAAAAAGAAGAGAAGTAAACTTCATGAAAATAAGATAAATTCAAAGGGTGACATGAGTAGGAGGCAAACATTTTAGTCTTTGGGGAGCTGTGCATAGCATCTGTTGTACATTTTGATATCCATGAGCATTCTTCATATTAATAAAACAGAATTATACAGTGAAGGGAGACTCTTCAGTTTGCTGTTTTGAATTTAAGGTGGAGAAAGAAAAGTGAACCAAATATATCAGTCTTCTCTTTAAGAAAATACACCATTAGGATATAGAAGGCATGAAAAGGAGAATTCAGACATTATGAAAGAAAGCTCTACCAAGCAATCAAATGTAGCAGCAATCAAGTTTGCAGGGTCACAGGAGTTCACACTTCTGTTCAATTAAGTTTGCATGTAGTTAATTTAGGGAACTTGAAACAGAAATGATGCTGACTTGATATTTTCCGACAGATCAAGGTGACTAATGTAATTGTTGGAGGAATGGTAGAACCAGGTCTGATGGAAATCTAAATTCAACACATGGTACTGGTGGCATGGAGGAACCTAAGGCTGGGTGCAAAAAGTGAAATTTTTTGTTTGTACATATGCAATCTAATTGCTTTTAGACCAATTTCTCCATACAGAAATATTTAAACAAAAGCATTTTCTGAGAGATGAGATCTGAATGATAAAATAAATGTAAATAATTTCCAGTAAAGTGGTAAAGGTTAAAATTAGCTTCTGTACTGTTTATTGAATTTTTTATTTCCACCAGTTGGAAGGGCATAATATTTTCTCCAGTCTGAATGCTGATGATTATGAGCAGTTGCTTGAAATCATTCGGAAAGCCATCATTGCAACTGATCTTGCACTATATTTTGGAAACAGGAAGCAGATAAGTGACCTGCTACAGGCAGGAGCATTGGACATCAACAATCAAACCCACAGGTAAATGTTTTCTATATTTAAACTGAAGTTAAATATTAGAAAACCATTGTAGAAATTGTAACAATTTTAATGAACAATTTGAACTGTCCCTTCAAAAATAAACAAAACAACTGTGGGTGCTGAAAATCTGAAATGTTAACACAAGATTCTGGAAATACCGAAGAATTCTGGAAGTATTTGTGGAGAAAGAAGCAGAATTAACATTTCAGATCTGGAACCTTTCATCAGATCTGGGAAAAGTTAGAAATGTAGTAGATTTTGAGTGAGTGAAAACGGGGGGATGATAAGAAATCAAATGGGACAACTGCAATATAGTGGAGGACACGAGATTAAGTGACTAAAGGTCTGATTCATGATGGTGCCAGCACCATGCAACTCCTTGCGAGCTCCCTACAGCAGATCTAATTATAACATTTATAACCGTTCCACACTTTTATGTCTAAGCACCCTATGAACTGTACGTCCTTGCTCACTATGATCTGCCTGTACTGCTCGCAGACAAAAGCTTTTCACTGTACTTAAGTACACGTGACTACAATAAATCAAATCAAATCAAGTCTATTGTCCAAGGCCAAAGTAATGGGACAAGTAAGGAAACACAAGATACTTTATGACTTCAGCTGTTATTATTCATGGGCAAGTCAGGTCCCAGAAATCTGGCTTAATATATTATATTTTGCTCTTGATTTAACGAGACAGTCTCTCACTGGAACATAAGCACACCATGTTGCAGATATGGTTTTCACAATAAAACTGAAGTTTATCATGCAAAAGAAGTGAAATAATATAGAATTAATCAAACTACCTGTAATGCATTTAAAGGTTTTAAAGTGCACAGTGAAACATATTTCCATGAATTCCAACAGTGTCCCATTATAGTATTCGCTTCAGAATTTCATGATTTTGAAAATCCAATAGCCTTCCTTTGGTTCTCAACATCACATAACCCCTCAAGAGTGTTAACCAAACACTCTGGTCTGGAACTTTTAATCTAAACTCCTTACACTGAGGTGACCTATGTCTTAACACTTCTGAACTCTTAGGAGGAACTGTTTTATATATCCAGATTCAACCAAGACCTCTGAAAAATTGCCTAAACTGAAACCCAACAGCTTTTCCAAGCCATGAATGTTTCCCTGAATCAAAAATGTCTATGACCTTATAAACTGAAAACCTAATGTGCAAATGTTTATTTGCTTGTAAAAACTCTTCTCAATAATCAAACTCCATTTCACACCAGGAGCTGTACTGCTTTTTCACAGAAAATTGCCGTGGCTACAGAAATGCCTACAAGTTAATAACGAAACCCCTTCTGATACACAGACCAACAGCCACATGCAACTAGCTCAAATCCAAACTCTGAATTAAGTATTTATCTATATTAAAATATAGATAAATCACAAACCTTGCATCACAATTTTAAGCAGAGGTATGGTAGTAGCTGCTGAAAAGCCGTCATCCAAAAGCAAACCAAGGAAATAAGAGAGAAAGAAATCCATTATGTCCTTGGCCTGCTGTACTGGTCAGATGAAAAGTAATGGAAATTTGAGAAATAGCACTCCATCTTTCAACTGAATACTTTGCAACCTTTTTACAATTTTCTACTGGAACCCCCATTTTGTTTCATATTTCTTTGTTTTTTCATTCCTGTCATTTCCTTTTATTTCCTTGGCTTTACTTTCAGACAGCTGTTAATCAGGACCTGCCATTCACATCTATTCAGATATTTTCTTTACTTGTTCTGTTACCACTCCATTTGGCCTTGCACCATGAAACCTTTTGTCATTTGATTCCTCTTGTCTATCCTGCCAGAAATCTTCTCTTTTGTTCTCCTTCCTACCCTGCCCTTTGCATTCACTCAAAACCTATTATAGTTCAAATGTTTCGAAGTTCAAATGAAAGGTTACAGATCAGAATTAATAACTGTTTCCCTCTACACAGGTGCTCTCAGACCTGCCAACCATTTCTAGCGGTCCTGTTTTACTTTGAAGTCTTCTTTGGAGCCTACCAATAAGGAGCCGAGTTTCCAAGGTTCAGAGTCACATGTTCAAATTTAAAAATCACCCACTCTTCAGATGGGCTTGAAGTAGTTGACATGAGTATTGCCAGTACCTGGTAAGGTTACTGTGCAGTCTGTTTCCATGGAGCAGAGAACATCTTGAGTTACAATTTTATAGTGTAGAATTCCTTGTCCTATTAGGCTTAAAGATCTATCCATCCATTTTCTTTCTTGTACCATTTCTATGGTGTAGTGTTTATCATATTTGTATGAATTGGTGTCACAGTGGAGAGCTGTTCCGTTATTTGGGGCGGCAATGTGGCACACTGATTAGCACTTCTGCCTCACAGCGCCAGGGACCCACGTTTGAATCCAGCCTTGGGTGACTGTTTGTGTGGAGTTTGCGCATTCTCCCCACGTTTGCTGGGTGTCTGGGTTCCCACTGGGTGCTCCAGTTTTGCCTCATAGCCCAAAGATGTGCAAGCTAGGTGGATTGGCCATGGTCAGAGGATGTACAGGTTAGCTGGATTAGCTATGGCAAACAGAGGGGGTTACTGGGATAGGGTGGGGGTCTGTGTCCAAGTGAGATGCTGTACGGAGGATCAGAGCAGACTCAATGGAATGAATATCCCTTTTCTGCACTTTAGGAATTCTATGATTCTAGTTCCTTTTTCTACCTGTTCAACCCGTTTCTCTTTTAAAAATCTGTTACTCTAATATGGATTATGTTACTACCGCTTTTCTGGTGGAGTATTCCGTGTCCTAATAACCCATATGTAACAAGAGAAAGTTTCCGGCCCCTTCTCCATTTTTTTGGGTGTTCATAAATTTATGTTCTTAACTTGCTGGCCACTGAAGATAATCATTCATAAAGTAAATTGTTAAAAATTATAATTTTAAAAACTTTTATAAGATCATGTAATGTTCTTTGTTCTAATTTTTCTATCCTTAAAAGGAAAAACTGGATATGTTTTTATTACACCCAGAGCAAACCCCTGTTCATGGATTCAAGGAAACTTTAGCACCATTGTGGCCATTGAACCTAATGTGCCTATACTGTCTTTCTTCCATTTCCTTTGTTTGTGTGAAAGACTCCTATGAGAAGTAATTAAAAACAACTGGAATGATATACAGTGTAGAAAGCTTTTGCTGCTGAATAAATAGGAGTTTGTAAAAACTAGAACATTTCTGATGGACATATACATCAAAATTAGTGGTATCAACTACGTACTACACTGACCATAATCTTCTAGGCTCATTCATTTTTCAGTTTTATTTTGTTTCTCTTTCAACATCAACAGAGACAGAGTGATTGGTCTAATGATGACAGCTTGTGATCTCTGCTCCGTCACCAAGTTATGGCCAGTTTGCAGGGCCACAACCGATGATATTTATGCTGAATTCTGGGGAGAGGTATATACCTTTTCTAATTTACTTAATAACAAACTTGATAATTGTAGGCAACATCCAGAGGCAGCTGTAGTGTCTTAATATCTTGGTTATAATCAGTAGTAATCCTACTTGTAACCACAGGTAATTACTGTAAAACCATAGACCGCTTTGATTAAACTAGTCAATTAATGAACCTTCAAAAGAGCCTAACTTTTTGAACTCTGGTTTTGTGTGCTATTGACAACTCTCAGTGGAGAACTAATTTGTATTTGATACATATATCAAATTGTTTGGTAATTATAACACAACCAATGATTCCACAAAAGGTAGTAGATTTGGTGATTCAAGAAATTCTTACAGGGAATACAGGTGACAGTGGGATGAGGCTGTGAGTTATGCTGAGTTATAAGCCTCACCAGGCAGTGGTGCCGAAAGTCAACCCATGGGCCTGCCCACCATGGACTTTACCAGGATGGAAGCAGGAAGGTGGCAAGGCCTCCAACTATCACACTTCAATGCAACTAAATACCTCTCCACCACAAAATACACCATGGGGAGGACACAAGATTATGCCAACATTTCTAGACCACTGCCTGAAATTAATCTCAATAAGCAGAATTTATATTGAGTTATAAAAGTTACAGCGCATGAGTACACTATTCAGGCCCTGATGCTGCTGTTCTGTCACCTGTAACCCCATTGCTTGCAAATATTTTTGTATTCCTCCTTTTTTTTAATATTCATATCTTTCTCTTTTAAACTAACTTTTAGCCTCAGTGGCCATGAGTGATGAAGGATCCCATAGACCAGTAGGGTTGGATTTCATCCTTGAGGTCAGAATTGTAAGGCAGGCCATTTCCCAATGTTGTGATTCCACCTCCTACCTAGCAGCGCCCACCAATGTTATATTCATGTTGAGGTAAGAGGACCAGCCTGGATTCTGGCCCTTCATCTCCAAAAGCAGCCCAAAGGAGGAAGGAGAGGCATATTGATGCAACTTGGGCATTGAAGGCCTGTCTCCACTTCATCCTGCTCTCCCTCACTACCCCCACAGTTCTATTCACCTCTTGCCGTCTATGCTCACCTCACATACCATTGCTGCCACATCTCTTTGCCTATATCCTGTATATTCTGCTCACCCCACTAAATTCTCATGATCCCTTATTCATCCTCAACCTTCACCCCTTCCACACTCCCATACTATGCCCACATACATCTACAATGTACTCCCCTCGGAACACCCTCCATTCCCATACATCCATCATCCATTATAAGTGGAGTTCTTAAGCCCTTGACAATTTCAGATGCCCAGAAACCTGAAGATAAACTAAAAAAAACACGTCAAAAAGATATAACCTTTTAAGTGGTCATAAAACATTGAAGAGATGGTGGCATTAGTAGTCATGTCACTAGACTAGTAATCCAGAGAACCAGGCTAATGCATTGATACCATGGATTCATATTCCACCATGACAACTTGAAGACATAAGGAACTGAAAGCTAGTTACAGTCACGGCAGCTATGAAACTATCATAGATTGTCATAAAAGCCCGTTTGGTTCCCTAATATCTGCAGAAATCTACCTTCCTTACCTGATTTAACCTAACTGTGATTCAGAGTGTACAGAAATGTGGTTAGCTCTTAATTGATCTCTGAAATGGTCTAGGAAACTATTTCATTCAATGGAAAAATAATGATGGGCAACAGATGTTCGCCTTGCTCATAATGGCCATATCCTGTGAAAGAATAAACAGTTAAAAAAAACCTTGACAGCTGTATCAACAAGGCTTACTCAGCTGAATCCATCAGTATGTTGGAGCTTAGCTACTTGTGCATAATTAGATACCATAGAAAGACTGTATCAACAACCCCTGCAAAGATCAGTCTTTTTGTAGCATTTAGAATTCATTGAAGCATTCATAAGAACTGAACTGTGTAAGCAGAATTTCCAGAGCTGAATATATTAAAACTTTTAAAAGATTCAGTAATCTGTTAAAGCTTTGAATCAGATTTCTGAATTGTCATTCAATGAAAAGAATAAATCACAGGGAATAAGTGGCATAGTCAAAACTGAATATAAATCTTTTTCAATGTAGAAGAGCACTTTACCCAGTGAATAATGTACTCTAATGTCCGGTTTCACAGTGTTGGTCAATTATATGATCAATTTAAGCAAACCAAAAGGGAGAGAACCATATTCTAGTGAGAAGTAATATTTTTTCTAGGTAGGAAGCACGATCATAAGTTAAGGCAGGTTTGTGTAAATTATTTTCAAAGTTTTGGTTTTTAAGTCAATACGTACTCTTTATAATGATTGAAAAGTAGGATTATAATAACTGAATTTAATAATAATTAGCTTTATTTCAGTTTCTGTTCATTTAATCACATGATATTTTGCATGTAGGGTGACGACATGAAAAGAATGGGAATTCAACCCATTCCTATGATGGACAGAGAGAAAAATGATGAAATTCCCAGTGGCCAGGTAAATAGCAATTTGAATTTGAAATTGTCACTGTTTAGAAAGTCATGATTGATCAATAGTTAGTGTTATGTATTTTTTTTTGATATTGGCAGTCTGTAGACCCAGTATTTCATTAACTATCCTGCTTGACACAAAATGTGATCATCTTTGCTCAAGGTTTAATTTTATGTGAAGGTTCATGATCCAAATCAAGTGAATTGCTTGCATGTGCATGCACACAACATTTTACAAACTGCATTGTGATTTAGAGAAAGAGACTGAAGTGTCTTTCTTCATAACTTTCATAAAATCCAGGGACTAAATTTGATGTTGATGACAGGAGGTCTTGCCTGCCAACAAGAGTCCCATGTTGCTTACTTTTGGGAAGGCCTGGCCTTTAATCAGGGTGTGAGTTGGGTAATTGTTTCAGAGATAGTAGGAACTGCAGATGCTGGAGAATCTGAGATAGCAAGGTGTAGAGCTGGTTTTCTGAAGAAGGGTCTAGGCCTGAAACGTCAGCCTTCCTGCTCCTCTGATGCTGCTTGGCCTGCTGTGTTCATCCAGCTCCACACCTTTTTATCTGTGAGTTGGGTAATGGCAGCTTTTCAAGGAACCAAGCACCCAAAAAGGAAATTCCAGCTACCAGAATTTTTTGGGGGGGTTTGGGGGCTGGGCACAAGGCAGGAAGGTTGATAGAAGTGTCTACGTGGTCCAGTCTTAATCAGGGATAAAAAAGAGTGCCCATGCACCGCGCTTCTGTCCAAATAAATGTCACCATTTTGGCATTACTTTCCATCCCAGCAGTCATAACTATTACAGTTCTCTGAACTCCTCCCTTCTTGGTTTGTACACAAACCTCATCAGTGGTCTAATTTTTGTAACAAAGAAATTGACGAACTAATAACAACTCAAGACTTTATAGATATAGTGCCTTTAGCTTACAAACGTTTTCCAAATTGCTATACAGAAATATTATTGAATAATGTTTGACCATTCTTGTTCACTGTTGCCGTTACGTCATTTGAATGGTTGACTAATTGATACACACCATAATTGTTAACATCTTTCTCCTCACTTAACATCTTCCATAACAGCAGTTCTTCCTGCCTACGTAAACTTTGTGCGGATTTCAACATCACCATGCACTTTTACGTAGATGTAAAGATGTCATTGAGGTGGACAGGTGAGGCTGAAAAGAGGCAACCAGAATTGTATGCAGTATTCCAAAAGTGGCCTCACCAACATCCAGTACAACCAAGACATAACAGCCCAACTACTATACTAAATGTTATGACCAATGCAGGCAAGTGAACCAAATGCCTACTCCACCACTCTTGCCACCTGCAATTCCACTTTCAAAGAACTATAAACCAGCACCCCTAGGTCTCTTTGTTCAGCATCACGACCCAGGGCACTACCATTTACTATATAAGTCCTGCCCCAGTTTGCCTTACCAAAACACAATACCTCAGATTTATCTAAACTCCATCTGCCACTCCTCGGCCCATTGGCCCATCTGATCAAGGTCCTTTTTTATTCTGAGATAATCTGATGTAAGGCTAACTGGTCTATAGTTCCCAGGCTTTTCCTTACAGTCTTTCTTAAATAGTGGCGCCATATTAGCCAAACTGCAGTTCTCTGGCACCTCACTCGTGGCTATTGATGACACAGATATCTCAGCAAGGGGCCCAGCAATCTCTTCCCTACCTTCCCACAAAGTTCTGGGAAACACCTGATCAGGTCCTGGGAATTTATCTACCTTTTATGCATTTTAAAACTTCCAACACCTCCTGTTCAGGAATATGAACTCTTCAAGGCATCGATAGTTATTTCCCCAAGTTCCCTGGCTACCAATTCCTTTTTGCACAGTAAATACTGATGCAAAATATTCATTTTATATCTCGCCCATATCCTGTTGTTGTGCACATTGATCGGTGATCGTTAAGGGATTTTGAAGAGGTAATTCTATTTTCCTTTTACACAGGTCGTTTTCTTCAATGGTGTAGCTGTGCCTTGTTACCGTACACTTGCAGAGGTCTTCCCATCAACCTCTCAACTGCTTATATCTTGCAGGTAGGAGTTACAACATTGGCCATCTTGTAACGCATCTTACATTAGGTGCTGCATTACCCTCATCAAGTAAATGAAGCAAGCATATTTAAAATTAAGAAACAATTTGAGAAGCATAAACATGACTTGTAAAGCTTTCATAGTTCAGCTTAAAGATCCTAGTACAGAGTGACTTACTTAAATTAATTCTATCGAAGACCACAGAAGATCTTAGACATACAGAATCTTCTTGGAACCACCCAACTTCATCCTTTGTTCAACATGGCTGCCAGTACTAATGGTAGAAAGCTCAATACAGCTTTTGCACTGAAACAAAACTGTTCAATTTAAATTATAAAAAATATAAGAAATAGGAGCAGAGAAAAACCATATACCCAACCGTGCTTTGCTGTTTAATATGATCATAGAGTACGTATAGTGCAGAAAGAGGCCATTTGGCCCATGAACCTGCACCGATCCTCTGAATAACATCCCAACCAGAACTCCCCGTCTGCCCCACCCCTAGTCCTGTAACCCCACATTTCCCACGGCTAATCCTGCTAGCCTGCACATTCCCGGACACTACGGGGCAATTTCCCAAGGCCAGTTCACCTAACCTGCACATCTTTGGACTGTGGGGGGAAACTGGAACACCCGGTGGCTGATTATTAGCTTGAAATCTACTTTCCCACTCCTCCACCACCCCTTGATTTCCTAAGTGACCAAGAATCTATCTTAGCCATAAATATATTCAATAATGGCACAGCCAGAACCATCTAACAAAGAATTTCAAAGATTCACAACGCTTGTAGAGATAAATGTTCAGCCCTTATCCTGAAACTATGCCACTTTACTTTAGAACTCCAGACAGGGGAACCTATCAGTATCCATCCTGTCAAATTCCTTCATAATTTTGAATTTTTTAATGAGACATTCTTTTATTCTACTAACTCTCAGAGACTATAGTCTCCAAGTACTCAGTGACTCATCGTACTCATCGTTATGCAAGCCTCTCATCCAGGAACATTCACTGTGGTACCTTCACTGCAAGTATATCCTTCCCTAAACATGGATACCAAAATAGCTCACAGTATTTTAGGTGTGGTCTCACTAAAACCCTAAATAATTGTAGCAAGATGTCTTTATTATTATTTTCCAGTCCATTTGCAATAAAAGGCTGTCATGCCATTTGGATCGCCATTTTCTCACTATACCTGCATGCAAATATATTTTCTTAAATGAATACATCCAACGCTGTCTAGTCATCAACATTTATATGACATTGTTATAAAAAATTCTGCCGTTATGCTGTTTTGTTCTTATGACCAGATTGAATAACCTCACATATCCCCGCCATTATACTTCATCTGTCACCATATTGTCCATTCAGATAATCTGTATCTCTGCAGTCTGTATATGTCATCTTCATAACTTGCATTTGCATCACCAGCAAATGCAGATATGCAATACTCATTCTGTTTATCTGAGTCATTAATATAAATTGTAAATAGCTGATTACAGGAACAAGGGTCAGCTCCTGAATGTACTGCTCCAGAACCATCACGTACACAGTTCAGGATTTCAGTCTATAGATTTATACTGACCCTTGCATCATTCCATTACTCACAGTCTGCCAACTGGAACCATCCCATTTATTCATATTGTCTACTTTCTGCTCATTACCCCATCCTCTACACTGTCTAACATATCACCCCCAACTTCATGAGCCCTTATCTTGCATATTAACCTTTGTGTGTCATCTTATTAATGCTGTTTGGAAGTCCAAGTATACACCTAATGACTTCCCTTTATCTAACCTTTGTCAGTAGGATTTCCTTTCAAAAAAACCAGGTTAATTATTCAAATCATCCTATGCTTTTCCAAGTCCTTTGGTAATAATAGATTCTGGAAAATTCCTAATGACTGCAGTTACCTGTTTTCTGTCTCCCTCCTTTCTTGAAAAGCATTGTTGAATTTGCTAATTCCCACACTGGTTTGGAACATTCAAAATGTAGATATCTTTGGAAAAACAAAATTAGTGCATCTGATATCTCTGAAGCCAACTCATTTTGAACATTAGAATGTAGACCGTCATGAGATTTATTACCTTTAGTTCCTTGAGTATCAACAGTGCTGTTTCTCTGTTGATTGCCTAATGGCAATGTGGATATACCTACACCAAGTAGAATGCAGTGGGTCACAGTGCAGCTCGCCACCACGTTCTCAAGGGTGATTGGGGATGGACAATGAATGCTGGCCCAGACAGCCAACACTCATATCCCTTATGTAAATAAAACAAAAAGTTAGCAGGGAAATTGGAACCTGAGGGGGAGCACAGGTTTGTTGGTAGATTCATTGAGCTTTACCGCACAGTAGTAAGTCTTGGCCCATCACATTACAAACCAGTCATCAAGGACCTATATACTCTAATCCTGTTTTCGACTTGGGACATAGCATTATATGCTTTGCTGCTTCAAGTGATCACCTTAAAACTTCTGAAGTGTTGTGAGGGCAGCAGGTTCTGGATTCCCATTAATCTTGAGGTGAAAAATATTCTTCCTTAAATCCTCTTTCAACTTCCTGCTCTTTACTTTAAATGTATGTCCCTTGGTTATTCATTCCTGTACTAAGGGGGAAAGTTTCTTCCTATTTACCCTATCTATGACACTGATAATTTTGTAAAACTCAATCAGATCTTTCTTCATCCTTCTCTAGTCTAAGGAAAATATTCTGTCTCAATACTTGAAATGCTCCAATCAGGCAACATCATACCGGAACTCCTCTGCACTCTTTCTAATACGATCATGTCCTTCCGACAGAGTGATGATTAGAACTGAACATGGCCAGCATAACTTCCCTGCTGTTGTATTCAATGCTTTGACTAGTAAAGGCAAATATCTCTTCTGTCTTTTTAACTACTTGTCCTGTTGCCTTCAAGAATTTGTGGTAAAAGGAAGTAGAAAAGTAGAATGCAAAAGTACAAGACAGAAACGTATAGGCAAGTATCAAATAGGATTACACTAGAGAAGATTAAAAGAGCAGAATTAAAGGTACTCTATCAGAACGAACATAGTGTTCACTAACAGTTAAAACAATTCTCCTTATTGAAGCAATCTTAACTTTAGAAAAGGCAGAGAAAAGAAAGGATTTCTAATTTGTTCAACTTAAACTGTATCCCTTCAAAATCCCAAACATACATACTCAATCATGATTAAGACAGACAAAGACAAATTATTTAACAACTATATACGATGGGTGGAAAAAGAATAGATGGGATAAACAAAATTCCAATATCAAAAGTTCAGAACACGAAATGGAAAGTTATTTTCCTCTTACTGACCTTTAAATTTTTTACAAAAATGTGACAGTGTTATCTACAGAAATGGTCAACTTACAATTCAATGGTTGATCAGATTAACTTCAGTCTTGTATGTCCTTTTCTTTTAAGCTTTCTTGGATTTTCCATTTTTTCTGTTGGCAGGCTCTAGACGTTTTGCATTCTCTCCTGCTCTTGGCAGTTATAGCCTTTAATGCAGTGGCTCAATCAATCTGAGACCTGTGCGAGGTAGAATTTCCTTAACTTGAAAGATTCTTGTTGTTGTTCTGTCTCAAATTCTTCCTGTTTTCGCTTCCCAAAAGCAAAGTTGTATTGCTTAACTCAGCATTGTGCGGCATTTGATCTTCAAATTGTGGAGTTTTCCCTTTTTTTCAGTCACGGCAATCCAACTTCTATTTCAATTGTATAGTTTCCAAAAAATGAAAGATGTGATCTCTTATGATGTCAAGAACAAAGTCAATAGGTTTCTGGAGACTAGTGACAAGAAGGAATAAGGGGATAATGCCAATTTGCTGCAATAAGTAGATGATCAACCATATAAGCTAACTGAATGATGAAGCAGGTTTGATGGACTGAGTGGCCTACTCCTTTTCCTGCAAATATTGCAGCTAGAAGAGCAGATTAGAGACTAGAAATTCTGCCACAAATAAATTACCTCGTTTCTACCCAATGTCTGTCTGCTACCTAGAAGGTATGTGATGGAGTACTCTTCACTTGCGTGGATGGATACAGCTCCAACAATACCCTAGAAACTCTCCACCAACCCAGGCAAAGCAGTCCACTTGATTGGCACCTCATCTACCATCTTCAGCATTCACTCCCTTCACCATCCGCACACGGGCAACTGTGTGCACCTTCTAAAAGATGCACTACAGCAACTCTCCCAGGCTCCTTTGGCAGCACCTTCTAAGCACCTGACCTCTTACCACTTGGACGTGCAAGAACAGCAAATGCACAGGAACACCGTCACCTGCAAGTTCTTTTTCATGCCACACATCCTCTTCTGATTTGGAACTGTATTTCCATTCCGTTGTGGGATCAAAACCCTGAAACTCCTTTCTTGACAGCATTGTGAGTGTACCCGGACCACATGGAGTACATAGAAACGTAGAAAATAAAAGCAAGAATAGACTATTTGGCCTATCGAGCCTGCTGAGCCATACAGGATAATGATGGCTGATCCTCTGACTCAACACTGTAGTCCCACGCTACCCCAAACTTCTGGAAACCTTTTAGCCTTTAGAAATCTATCTATTTACTTTAAATGTGTCAGTGACTTGGCCTCCACAGCCTTTTGAGGTAAAGAATTCCATAGGTCCACCACTATCTGCATGAGGAAATTTCTCATCATTCGGTCCAAAATGGCCTATCCCACACTATGTCTGAGACTGTGACCTGGAGCTGCCAGCCAGAGGAAACCACACCCCTGCCATCCAATCTGCCCAGCATTTTCATATGTTTCTGTGAGATCTCCTCTCATTCTTCTAAATTCCAGTGGCCTAGTCTGCCCAATCTGTCATACAACAAACTTGCCATCCCAGGAATCAATCTGGTGAACATTCACTACAATCCCTCTATTGCAAATGTATCTTTCCTGAGATAAGGAGATCAAAACTGCATATAATACTGCAGGTGTCGTCTCGTCAAGGCCCTGTCCAGCTGTAGGAAGACTTCCTTGCACCTGTAC